GGGAAAGAAGGCGCTGGAAGAATGAGAAGTCAAGATTAAAATCTTTTACTGTTTTAGAGCAATTGAAGGACTGGTGGAATGACTCACTTAGAGCTTAAATGGAGGAAAATTGGTCTCTATACAGAACTCATCAAGCATCAATGTTCCTGAACCCTCGCAATATTTTTTCTCGCTTGAATTCTTAAGCAGTGCCTCAAGGGGGCCAGTAATATATTGCTTCATAGTGGGGAGCCTTACAGCTTGGACTTGTTAGAGGGACCTGAGATTAAATCCCACCTTGCCAGGCAGTAGCTGTGTGAATTTACAAAGATATCCAAATTGCTATAAACCACATTTCCTCTTCTGTACAGGAAAAATAAAATATGTACATTTTATGTCTTGTGAGGATTAAATCTAAATTCACAAAGCCTTGTGAGGCTTGTATATAAAGAAATTACCACAGTACCAGACAAATACAAATCAGTCAATAAATGTTAGATATATTATAGTCTATTTGCAGCTTATTGTTTTGTTTTTGCGAGGAGGAGATGACATTTTGTATAATGTTCACTGAAAGGAGAGATATGCGTTTTAAATTCTATTCCTATTTTCACTATTGAGTCTCTTCGAGAAACTTTGTTTACTTTCTCTGAGCTGCGGTTTGCCCATTTTTATACTTATGACTATTCCCTCTCTGTCTAATCAGAGGAATAAGGCAGATGACAGAAACAAAATAAGTTATCTATTATAAACATTTTGAAAGAAACTAAATCATGAAATAATAACATTATTAATATGTTACTTATATTATATGTAAATCTTCATTTTCCATAATGAAATAGAAAAGCAATTTCTTCACAAAATTATTGGTCTCTCAATTATCAGAAGAAAAAATGTTTTCACAAGATTATTCCATTTTCAGTTAATCGTTTGTTAATTATTGACTGAGAAACTGCTATACACTGTTATGATTAAAATTTTATTACCGCAAAAGAAAGCTTCCCACATTTGGATTTATTTTATCCTTATGACCAATTTCTCCCCTGAGATTTCTATG